ACAAATCATTCTATTCATTAAGAGAATGCAACTATATATCTATCCCAACCTCTTTGAATACACAGATACAAAATGGACATTCATCGGTATGCCCCATTTTTTCTAAGTTCTGTTCCTGCTCTCTTTTTATTGAGAGACAGGGCCTCAGTATTTTGTTTAGGCTGTCCTCAAACTTTTGATCCTCCTGTCTTCTCTCTCAGCTGGGATTACAGGCATGTGCCACTACCCATGGCTTTTGTTTTTTATTTCTATTAATATTGCAGTGTTTTATAAGAGAAAATCTTGATAGCAGATTCTGTTTGGGATGATGAATAATTCTGGAAACATAATTGTAGTGGCTGCATAACATTGAGAATGCTCATAATGACAGTGAATTGTACTTAAAAATGCTTAAAAGTAGAGCTTGGTGTGGTGGCACAAGCCTGAAATCCCAATACTTCGGAGGCTGGGGGCATGAGTATTTTTTTTTTTTTTTTTTTTTTGTATTTTAGGGATGGGTCTACAGGGTGTTTAGGGTCTCACTAGTAGATTGGACTCATAGTGATCCGCCTGTTTACAGCCTTCCAAGAGCTGGGATCAGGCGTGCGCCACCAGGACCAGTCTCAATCCCTGTCTCAGTGTGCTCCAGGGGCGGGGCCAGCACAGCAGGCTCAGGAATCAAACTCCTGGCCCCTGTGCCTGCCTGCTTGCAGGTGCTTTAATCTGCTGAGCTATTTTGCTGGCCCTTAAGGGGCATGAGTATTTTGTTGCAAGTTTGAGACAAGACTGAGCTACAAAGTAAGCTCATGGCAGCCTGATCTGCATAGCAAGACCCTGTCTCAAAAAGAAAGAAAAAAAAAAGTTAAAGTAACAAATTTTGTATGATACATACTTTTTTCCACAACTAAAATATTAGAGCTTGTTTTTCCAGTACTGGACAGTGGAGTGAACCCTACTGGGGAATGAATCCAGGGCCTTTGATCCTTGCAATCCTCCTGCTTCAGTCTCCCAGATTGCTAGGATTACAGACTTACGTAAGCATGCTTGATCTCACTCACTTATACAGGGAGTCACGAAGTTGCTGTGTTGCCCAGGCTGGACCTGAACTTTTTTTTGAGAAAAGGTCTCATGATGTACTCCAGGCTGGCCTTGAACTCACAGTAATCCTTCTCCCTCAGTGTCTTGAGGGCTGGGCTTGCAGGTGTGTGCTACCACACATGGTTGTGCTTAAACTTTGAATCCTCCTGCCTCAGTGTCCCAGAGTGCTGGAATTATAGGCATGTGTTACCACGCCCAGCTAGACAACCTTTTTTTTTTGGTGGAACCAGGGATTGAACTCAGGCCATTGCGCTTGCCAGGCAAGCACTTACTCTACTGAGCCATCTCCCCAGGCCCTAGACAACTTTTTTTAATAGTAGGGAAAAAAGGGTGATGGGCACATGGGAAATCTACGAACTGCTACCTTTTCAATCTTTTTGTAAATCTAAATTTACTCTGAAATAAAAGGTTAAACATGTTCTGAGGACCAATTATGTCCTTGGAGTGTTTTGATCTATTTGTAGGGATGCAAAGAATCTAATCATATCTGTGAGTATAACATAAGCCTTAAGCCAGAAAGATAACTGCAGTTAGTAACAATGTTCTTCCTCATCTTTCAGGTGGGTAAGACGGAGCCTTGGGCAGTGCCAGATGAAAGGTTGCAGTGTTTGAAAGAGTGCTCAAAAAAGCTGCAGGCTCTTGACACAAAAAAGCTGCACCACATTCTATGGAGCACCCACCTTTCGGGAAGCACAGTATGTTTTAGTAAAAGACAAGTCACAGTAAGTTTGCTCCATCTGACCCCTGAAAACCTGGTCATATACAGTACCCAACTGAAAATGAGATGTTTCTAAATGAAGGAATTTATCAGTTCATGAAGCCTATGAGCAGGAAGTGGCTAATTTAAGGAGCTGAGGCTTAGTATAGTGATGCACACCTGTAATCCTAGCACTTGGGAGACTGAAGCAGAAGGATCACAGCAAATTCAAGGGTAGGCTGGGCTACACAGAGAGTTCAAGACCAGCCTAAACTACATAGTGAGACTCTCAAAATCAAAAATAAATAAGGAAGGTAGGAAGGAGAGAAAGGCAAGGCAAGGAAAAACAATGAACCAATTGTACCTACTTCCTTTCCACAGACTGCTTTTCTTTCAGAAGGTCATTTAGTCTGTGCTCCAGACTATCACATTTTTCAATTGTTTCTTTAAACTTGGTCTTCATGTTGTTAATCTGAAATAGCAAATAATAGAAGAGGTAAAATTTTGTGGTTCTTGGGACTAATGTCACCCTCTTCTCCCCAGTTATGTTATAACTTTGATAAAGCACTTTGAGAAGGTGAGGTAGGGCCAGGGAAATAGTTTGGCAGTCTAAGTGCCTGCCTGGCAAGTCCAAGGACCCTGGTTTGATCCCCAGTACTACAAGCTGTGCTGGCCCCAGGTGCTGAGTTAGCCACTGAAACGTGGTGGCAGCACACACCTGTAATCCCAGCACTGGGGAGGCTGACACAAGAGGAGGAGTGAGGAGTGACTCCTAGTGAGGAGTCTGAGCTGCATAGCGAGACCATGTATTGAACAAACAAACAAAATATTTAAAAAAAAAAAGGGTTTCCTTGATTTAAAAAAGGAGGGATAATTATTTGAAAGAACTTTCTGATAAGAACATATATTTCTTTTCTTCTTCCTTTTTTTTTTTCCTCAGTACTGGAGATTGAATCCAGGGCCTTCCAACTGAGCTATGTACCCAAGCCATTCCAAAAAAATTGCTGGGTACAGGCCTGAAATCCCAGCACTTGGGAGGCTAAGCAGGGGAATTGCCACGAGTTTGAGACCAGCCTGAGTCCCACTCTGAGTTCAAGGTCAACCTAAACTGAACTACATAGTGAGACTCAAACAAAACAAAATACCTGAGTTACCCAGGCTGGACTTGGGCTCGGGTTATGGGTCTGTACCACCATACCTGGCTCAGAAATAAAATTTTTGAGGAATCCTTTCCCTCCTATTTCTTTATACCAAGATGAGGAAGATATCAAGTTGCTGAACACCCAGTGAAGCAGCTGAAAAGTAAGCAAGAAGCTTCAAACACTGGAGCAGGAGATTGTCTGGCGGAGGCCAACCAGAGCCTCTCCTTATTAACTCCCCACTGCTTTTTCCTCCTGAGCTTACATTCCAACAGCTATTACCCACTGCTCATGTAAAAAACTGTGGTAGCGAGTTCTAGCTAGTTCTTTTTTGGTTCTCTAAACCATTAATTTTTTCATGTACTGTGAAGTCATACAGAATAAGTGCAGTCAGTGCTTTATTTACAAAGGCAACTTTTCTATGAAATGCATACTGTTAGGGGGACACTGGACTGACTGGTGGGCTTCTACAGACTCGGGAATTGGCTCAACTCCACTGTGTAACAACAATGGGAGATGACATGGGAAGGCCGGGTGGACTTGGAACATAAGGCAGTAATAATAGGGACCAAAAGTGGCCAAGAACCTTAACCCTATAGTCCAAGTACTGGCTCTGTTTTTCACAGGGAAGGTGGTGTTTATTCTGCACTTACAGGCCAGTATTGCAGATAAGTCAACTACTGACAGAAACTGAGGCTAAGAGAAATGGAAGACATACTGCCCAAAGTCACACAGCTAGAATGTGGTGAATCCTGTCTGGAACCAAATCTGGGTCCAAAGTCAAGTTCTAAACCTTTTTCTACTGGGGGTAGAAGTTCTAAAGCAAAGTAGACATGACCTCTGGACTATATCTAAACTCTTAGCAGAGATCCCAGTAGTGAGTCACACAACAAGCCTCATGGGCTTCTAGCTCCGTGTAAATCAATGTTTTCCTAGCTGATTAGGAAATGAGTTTGGTGTTATATATAATAAAAATTCATATTTAACAGAGTAAATGTAAAATGTTACAACATAGCTGGGCCTGGTGGTGCATGCCTGTTATCCTAGCTACTTGGGAGGCTGAGCCAGGAGGACCACAAGTTTGAGGCCAACCCGGGCAACTTAACCAACACTCTGTTTCCAAATTAAAAATTAAAAAGGGTCAGGTGTGTAGCTCAGTGTTCGAGCACTTAACACAGCATTTGCAAGACTCTGGACTTAAATAAAGAGTACCAGTGGCAGAACAAGACGACTCTATTGGCTGTAAACTTCTAAGGATAAATGACATTTGTTACTAGAAAACAAAAGTACCCTTTCAAACACTGTGAGCTTTCATTTGGCACTGCCCTGGGCTCCATCTTACCCACCTGAAGTGAAGTACAAGCACAACTATTTATTTATTTATTTATTTATTTTTATGGTCTTCCCTTTCCTGCGCCTGACTGATTTCCCCTGGCAAGTCTTCAGGAATGTAGTTAATCCTAAAGAATCTTAAAGGGCAGAGAGAATCCCGAGCTGAGCTCTCAGGGGTCTGTAGAGAGCACTTTAGGTGGTCACGCTGGTGTCTCCCGTAGAAAAACCCATTAGGAAGGCTGCAGCTGTGCTGCCAGAAGGCTTCCCTGTGAGTCCATCCACAATGTGACACCAAGCAGCAGCGAGCGCGCCCTCCTTCCAGGGAGCGCAGGGAGGCAAGTCCTTCCCCGCATGTGCTGCAATCAAGCCCTATTCAGACCAGAAGGTCAAGTAACCTTGAGTGCCTCTGGAAAGGCACTGCTGCTGCCCGGAAGAGTCTCACACTGCTGCGAGAACTGCATCAATAACTTTTTTCTTTTCTTTTCTTTTTTCAACCCATGTGCAACAGGGCTTTATTTTATTTATTTATTTATTTTTTTGGTGGAACTGGGGCTTGAACTCAGGCCCTTGGGCTTGCCAGGGAAGCACTTATTCTACTGAGCTATCTTCCCGGCCCCCTGTATCAATAACTTTTAATTATAGATTATTTAAAAGCTATGTCAAGCAGCTATTTTTAAAGAAGAAATCCTATTTCTCACATTTATCATCAGACCCAGCAAGTAGGGTCCATGGGCCGAGCACAAGTAAGAGCCTGGGCCTTGCTTGCTAGGCTTCGTAACAATTCTAGCCTCCAGCACAGGTCCCAAGCCTGGTGGTCTGCAGTACTTAGTTCTGCAGGTCCATGTAACAACTGGGAATTACCAAGTCACTAAGAGAATCATTTTAGTCATTTAATCACTTATTCAGTCATTCATTCATTTGGTACAGGGTCTCATTATGCAGCTTGGCCTCCTAGTGATCCTCCTGTGTCAGCCTCCCCAGTGCTGACATTACAGGCATGGGCCACCATGCCTGGCTTCAGTGGCCAGCTAGGCGCCTGGGGCCAGCATGGCATGTGGTACTGGGGACTGAACCGGATCCTTGCGCTTGCCAGGCACATGCTTAAACCTCTGAGCTATCTCTCCAGCCTGAGAATCACTTTAGAGGCCTTTATTTGCTACCAGGGGAGTGGCTGGATTATTTATGTACACTGTTGTCCCGTCTAAAGGCCTAATTACACACACTCTCAAGTGCTGAGTTTTTTTCTTTTCATGCTTGGAGTATATGACAATTATATTCACTGTTGGAGCTGGTACATGTCCTAACACATCTTAATTCCTTTTTGTCCCTTGTTCCCTCTCCTTCTTTCCCCCTCACCTCACTGGTTTTCAAACTATCTTCTTTGGAACCCTCAGGGTTTCCTGTAGATGCTGCAGACAAAGGGAAAACCAAACCAGTAGCTTTGGGTCTTCCACCTAGCATTCCAATAAAACCACATCACTTTTCTTTTACATGTTTGGAAGAACTGAATGATATCACCCCCTTTTCCCAGTTAATTATTTTTTGAGATAAGATCCCCAGAACAACTGTTCCCAGGCTGACAAACCCACAGTCCAACTCAAATCACAAACCTTCATTTACATACTTCTGTTTTTAATGGGATTAGATAAAGTGCTAGAATCTCTGATTGAGGTTAAAAAACACAAAAAACCTCTTAAAACTAAAATAATGAGAAACTCAATTCCTTAAATCCAAGGGTTTTGTTTTAGACAAAATACTTCTCTACCAATTATCAAGCTAAGAAGGGAAAATTCCAAAGATTCCTTTTCCCTGTACTTTGCCTTCCTCCACACATGGTCAAACCGCGGTCCCTTCCAAGTGGCATTTCAGCAGTCACCAAACCAGACTTACTTCTTCTGCTGTGTCTTTCTCTAGACGAACTATCTTGTTTTCCCAGTATATTCGCTGAGATTCCAGTTGGCTTGTTAGTAAATATGAATACTAGAAACAGAGAACAAATGTAAGTCACTGTTGTCAGTCTATGAGATCCAATTAAAATCTGATCTTTAATGATTTACATAAGAATAAAAATAATCAGAGTTTACTTTTTCATTTTTGTTTAGGAGGCAGGGTCTTGCCATGTTGCTCAAGCTGGTCTCAAACTCCATGGATCAAGTGATCCTGCCGACTTGGCCTTTGCAGTGCCTGGGACTACAGGTGTGGGCCACCATTCTTTTTTTTTTAAATTTTATTTATTAATTTGTGTGTGTGTGTGGCCAGCTCAGCCCACCAGGGGGTGGGGCTGGCTGGCATGTGGTGCTGGGGGATTGAACCGCGGTCCCTGTGCTTTGCCAAGCTTGTTCTAAGTAGGTGCTTTAGACCACTGAGCCATCTCACCAGCCCTGGGCCACCATTCTTGGCTCACCAGAATGTATGCTAAAACCTGGGAGAGAGGGGCCGGGGAGATGGCTCAGTGGAATAAGCGCTTCCCTGGCAAGTGCAAGGGCCTGAGTTCAATCCCCGGTTCCACCAAAAAAAAAAAAAAAAAGAGTTCAAGGTCAGCTTGAACTGCATAGCAAGGACCTGTCCTAAAAGGAGAAAGAAAGAAAAAAAAAAAAAAAACCTGGGGGAGGTAGCACAAGCCTAAATCCCAGCATTTAAGGAGGCTGAGGCAGGAAAGTTGCAAGTTCAAGTCCTGACCAGGCAACTTAGCAAGACCTTACCACCAAATAAAAAAGAGCTGGGGATGTTGCTTCACAATGGAGCATCCCTGGGTTTGATCCCCAATGCCTCCCACCCCTGAAAGTATGTATGCTACCTTGAGTTGCACTCTACTCAATAAGCACTGGACCAACAGACACAGAGATGACAGTTATACTCCTGCCCCTGTACGCCTGGGGTTTAAAATCTTAATTGGGAAGAATAAAACAAAAAAAATACATATACAAAACTTACATTGGTCTGGCTGATTTTAAAAAGAACTACAGTGGTTTCAGACACAGGTATAACTAAGGGCTGGGCTGTGGTTCAGTGGTAGAGCAACATGCTCAGAATGCCCAAGGATCTGGTTCAATCAATCTTTTTTTTTTTTTTCTTCCCCCCTCCTCTGGTTCAATCTTGAGCATTCCAAAAAGAAAAAGAAAAAGAAAAAAAAAACCTGTATACTACTCAAGCCAACTCATCCACCTACACACTCTTGGGTTAAGCTCCCCTTCAGGGCTTCCTTAGCAATATGCCCAGCAGCAGCAGCAGCAGCAGCAGCAGCAGCAGCAGCAGCAGCAGCAGCAGCAGCCCTAGTGCATGAATGACCGGACAATGCTGTAACTACAGGGAAAGACAGATGCCTTATGGCAATAAGTCTGGTGAAACTCCTGAAAGGGCTCTTGACAGGCAGGAGACAGGAAATCAGAGAGCTCTTGTCCCCGAGGAATGGACCAAGTCAGAGCTGTGGACGTTTAGATCTCTTCAACAATAACACCAGTGAAGCTGGGAGTAGAGTGTGGAGACACAGGTCCTATGCAAAGCTATGGGCAGGGGGGAGATACTGACAAATGTGAGCGAAGGGAAGTCTAAGGCTAAACAGTAGTAAAATCCCATCTACATTTTGGAAAGACCATTTTTTAAAAAAGGGATCTAAACATGTCTGTAGCTAGAGAGAAGGGACAGGTAGGAGAATGTGCTATCAGAATACATGGTTCACCAGAGTAGGGAGGTGGCTGAAAGCATCCTTCAACTTCCCCTCTCATACTAGAAATTGAACTCACAGAACACTGAGGGACATCCCCAGTCCTTTTTGTTTTTTGAAACAGAGTCTTGCTAAGGTGACCAGGCTGTCCTTGAGCTTATGATCCTCCTACTTCAGAATAGTAAGCAGCTATGATAACAGGTGTGCACCATTGCACCTGGCTTAAAATAATCTTTTTCAAAATTTACATAAAAAAGGACTTATAATGAAACTTCCTTTTAACATGGAATTTATGACAATTTTACAGTGGGTGGGATTTACTGCTATGTAGAAAAGCCAAACTGCAAATTTTGTTTCTTCAAATAAATTCACTCAAAAAGGGTTTAAGTATGTCTCTAATTCATAAAATATAATTTGAATATACATTTAAATACATAAACATCCAATTCATAAAGTCCCAGCCCAAAGTATGTACCAATATTTCCAGAGATAGAAAGATGATATGGGTTTTTTTTGTTCAGTTTCCAGCTGTTAGTGTGACACCAAAAGGAACGTGCTTCTATCTGGCTCTATTGCAGCTATGGAAGTACCTTTATTGTCTTTAATTACCTTGAATTTGACATAATTAGGAATGTCACACTGAAAGAAAAGCACAGTAAAGCAGGATCAAAGCCCGGTCCCTGCACCAGCCTAAGCAAGAGCTTTAATCTGCTGAGCTATCTGGCTGGCTCTGAAGCTTAGACTTTTAAAAATGAAAACAGGGGCTGGTGAGATGGCTCAGTGGTCTAAAGCACCTACTTAAAACAAGCTTAGCAAAGCACAGGGACCTCGGTTCAATCCC